AAAAAAAATAGCACTATATTTTTAATGAGTTGTCAGAAGGAAGAGAGAACAGTGAAATACAGACATTCATTCAGTTCTTTATTTTGACTCAGAAAGTGCAAATTTTAAAAATATTTTGAATGACCCTTTTCTCATGTTCATAAGCATTATTTATCTTGACTGCCTTTTATGATACACATAGAAGTAGGAACCAGGCAGTTTATTGTATGATAGGACCCTTTATGGGTGGGGAAGCGAACCAACAGTGGTTGAAGAGCCATTTGGTTCGGGGCACAGAACCTTAGGTACTTAATTTTGTTGAGACCTCATAATAACCCAGTGAAATAGGTGTTCTCAGTGTCATCTGATGGTTGGTGAAACTGAGGCAAAAAGAAGTTACACAGCTTGAAAGTTAGAAAGAAGGTTGGTCACACAAGTTGCTACCTATATGCAGATATATCTGACTTAAGAGACTACCTATAACATTAAGAGAGAGAGACATTTTTCCTTTGGTTCATTAAGAAATAAAACAAAGCAATATAAATTTATAGCCTTAAAGTGTTACTCTAGGATGAAATATTATTATACTTGAAAAAGGTCTCTCACATGATCACATGAGTTACTACTTAGTATGTATTTGGATTTGATTCATTTATTTTCCAGTCAATTGCTGAGCATGAATTTAAGGAGAACATGAAGCTAGAAGCAGTGAACCCTCTTCTCCCCGAAGAAGTATGCATCGCCACCATTACCGCAGTGAGAGGCTCATACCTATGGCTCCAACTGGAGGGTAAGTACCAAGGCCCCAGAGGAGCCTTCCTGGGGCCGCTCTTCTTGGCCTTTTCTGTCCACCATATAATGTGGCTTGTTAAACTTAATCAATTAGCTAAATAGGGGTCTTATTCAGAGACTTCGAATTTAGAATGCAAGATTCTAAGTTAAAACTTTATTTTCCTGTCCTTTCAAAGTTTAGGAAATGAATGTGAATAAAAAGCCTTCACTACAGAGTTCCCTATTTTCTTGAAGGGGAAATAAGTCAAATAGCATA